GCTATGTGCTTATGAGCACAATCAGCTAATTTTAAGTCATACTGAAAATCATCATGAAGTTTCCTCTTTGGCTCATGACTTGTTAATCATAAGATGGCAATTGTTGGCCGGTGGTGTCCACTTTTTTCAAAATACCAAGATGGCAACAGTAAAAACAAAACACTCATCTTGAGTCACCAGCGCTTCACTAGCCAATGGGTGATTACGATGACTACACCCATCTTTTATATACAGTCTACAATAAGGCCTCACATTTCCAGCTTGGTGTTTGAGGAATGTGAAGCTTCTGAGTTTTCTTTAAACATTCCTCCAATAGCAAACACAGCCAATAATAATTGCTGCTGACAAGTGGGATTAATTACCATTCTAAAAGTAAAACCATAAATGATTAAAGACAGTGGTTGTGAGACCTGCAGACAATGAGTTTATTCATAATAACCTGCAGCCTTGGACTAATCATATAATAGATAAATGCTAGCATTTCTGTGTCAGCAATTTGAATTAACACAATTAAAATGAGTCAGGATCTAAAAAGAAATGTCAAGATGTCTCTTCAAGTGAGTCCACGGGAAGGATTTCACTGGTTCAAGTCTTCAAAAAAAATGCAATTAATCAGATTATGAAGAACGAGATGGACAGTAAGGCCTAAAAGTTGGGATCAGCCAGGATCTTGAGTCCCGGCATGGAAAAACGGGCCTCTAAACAAATAAATGTTAAAACCCTCCACCTCTCTCACACAATTGGAAAGAGTGCTGGAGAGGCCTTCGGTGACCCCAGTGATCATTAGGTTTTACTCAGAAAATGTGCTTAAAAGTAAGAGCAAATTAAACATCCATAAAGATGAAAAACGATCAAAAAGTAAATCAAAATGACCACAAGCAAACATAAAATAGAGGAAAAACAATAAACTAGAAACAGATTTTTTCTAATGTTGTATTTCTGTGTTTTGTTTTTTGACTTCCTATAGTCCTTGTGTTTATGTGTGGATTTCTTTATTTATTGGTGTCTTTTTAGGGTTATTTATGTTTATTCATGGCCCCATGTACCTTTGGGGATCTCATGGATCGTTTCCGCTTGACTTGTATGCTTTTTTGCATGTCTTTGTGGTTATTCATGTCATTTAATCATTATTATCATTATTTGTCTCTTTTGTGGCCAATATCTGTTTCCCTGTAGGCATTTGTCGTCGATTAAAAAAAAGGGAAAAAACAGAAAAACTCTGAGGGCCCGGTTCTCAGTGTCTGAAACTTGAATAAACTTGTCTACGGCTCACTTCCTCGACATTTTGTGCACTGTGCGCACAGGGCTCTGCCGACACGCTGATTGGACCGGGGCGTTATCTGGGCGGGTTATCCGTTACACCATGCGTGCTACGATTGGACGCGGTGTGAGAGTGGGAAGTGGCCGTACGCCGGTGTCTCCCTGGTTGCGCAAGACGCCATTTTGGGGTGACAGTGAGAGATAACGGAAAGATCGAGAAGCTGTCGTTTTAAAGGTAATAACCCACATAAACTCGCTTGTGTTTTGCCTGTAACGCCATTTATTGTACGGCCATTGTCGCGCGGTACCAGCGATTCGATTTAGTTTCGCCTGAGCATGACGTCACGAGGTTCTTTCTCAACTGTGACGCGGCATTTAGCTAACGGCTGTTAGCATAGCGAGCTACCGTGTATCAGCTCTTTTAATGTTCACGCCACAGAAACCAGGCCTCAGTTTTCCAGGTGGATTTTGTAGCAGGTCGTCGTTATATGTATTAATGATATATGCTGTAACCGGCAGTGGTCTTTAGACCGTTGACGAACGGTGTCGCCTGTTCGTCGCAAGTTAGCATATGCTAGGAAAACTAGCTATCTAGCTGAAGCATCCGCCCTTAGTAAAGCGAACTGTATCCTGTTTCGAGTGCTGGTAACAAGGTAAAGAGACCAGAAAACTTCAGACTTTTCACAGAAGATCTGCGCGTTCACATAGCAGAATGTTTCAGCCTTTATTGACACGTACTGATATGAACTTTAACATTAACTTAGCTTGACCTTATAGTTGAAAGCTAGCGTCTTGTGACGGCTCACTCGTACAGAAACATTATCCTAACCTGCTATTGCAGAGTTTTCTAGCTGGAACAGGCCTCTCTTATCTTTTCATCAGTTAGCTATTCGCTTTATCCACGGTTGTACAGCTTAGCCTCAGGATATGCGATTTTTCTGCTGTTAAATAATTGACACATAGGCAGTTTTAATACTTCTGTAGTGTAGAAGTTAATGGCTGATATGGACGGCCTTAACTTTGAGGCTTTCGTCTACGACTCTATCATTCGTTTGTGTAAACATTTAACTTGTTCTCCTTCGTGTGTCACACAATGTACCTCGTTTTTTCGACTAAATATACAGCTGTCATCGAACTGCTCTAATGTGGTGTGCCTCTATGAACTGGCTAACGATAAAACGACGGTAAATCAGTCCAGATGTCAGCTGTATTCTCTATGATACATTTTCCCTGTGTTCACTTCCTCTCACCATACTGCACTGAAACCGATTAACAGCAGACCTTACACTGTCTTAACCCTGTCTCCGTCTCTGCTTTGACAGCTTCATCACCATGGGGAATGTATTTGCGAGCTTATTCAAAGGCCTGTTTGGCAAAAAAGAGATGAGGATTCTAATGGTGGGGCTGGATGCGGCTGGAAAAACAACTATCCTATATAAACTCAAACTCGGAGAGATAGTCACCACCATTCCCACCATTGGTATGAACATTTACATCTATCACTCCACTGTCATTGTAAAGAAGCTGTATTTTTAGACTGCTATGAGAAGATTGTTGTTAGTTATTTCCTATTGTTATTTGAGAGGACAAAAAAAATCCTGTTCACCAGATCTTCAGGTCTTTTAAACATCTGACTGTTAATTTGTTTTAATTACTAGGGATACACTGTTACGGAACTTAGGGCTATGACTAATATATCTACTTTTTGTGTTTATTGTCTTTTTTTT